ACTAATACTTTATAAACAACGCACGTCCAATTGGTTGTGTAAACTTACTTCAATCACAACCCACATGATTACGGATCCTTCAACCCATGATTACATCACCTTAATTTAACTGACTTCAGATTGGCAGACTTTTAAAGTTCACGCATAAACAGGCGTATTTTAAACGCGGGTGGTGAAGGTACGGCAGCCGTATCTTAATGTCTCGAGGCTGACGAGTCGGCAGTCCACTTGCCGCATGCGTCGCTTTCCCACACCATAGATTTTTTTTGGTACTATGACACGCGTATATAAGATAGCTGAGTCGGTTTAGAGTTGATGTTAGGGTTAGGGTTAGGGATAGGGTGACTGTTTGTACTTGTGTGGTGGGACTGCCGTACCGTAGCCTCGAGACATTAAGATACGGCTGCCGTACCCGTGAGGCCTCGAGACATTAAGATACGGCTGCCGTGTAGCCTCGAGACAGTTAAAATACGGCGGCTGTACCCGTAGCCTCGAGACATTAAGATACGGCGGCCGTCCTAGCCTCTGGCATTTTAACGCAGTGGCTACAGGTACGGTAGGCGTATGTTAATAGTCTTGAAGCTACGGGTACGGTAGTCCATTTGCGCATGCGTCGCTTTCCAGCAAACTAATGCCCCCCTACCGTGGCGCAATTTTATCATCGGGAGTGGTGATCGCTTTTGGCAATGGTTATACCTACCGTACCAATACCCTCTCAGATAGAACTCTTTTCATAGACTAATTACACACTACGTTCCTACCGTAACTCTGTAGCCACTGCCGTTTAAAATGCGTGAGAGTGGTCTATTTAGGTTACGGCAGGCCGTTACGGTAATTGCTCCGTGCTAGGGGGGGTGGGTCCGTCGGTAGTATTTGGTCGGAGGCTACACTGGTCAGCGTTAGCGGTAGTGATCTCCTGCTTTTTTGTTTTTCAATATCTTATTTTATTTTTTTATTTATATTTAATTTAAAATTAATATTTATTTGGATATATTTTAATTTATTAATTTATATTAAAATTTTTAATTTTTTTTTTATTAATAATTAAATTATAATTTAATTTTTTTTTAATTAAAAATTTTTATTTATAAATTTTATTTTAAGATAATTATATATATTTAATTTTTAATTCACGCATTATATTAATCTCCAGCCTAATAATTAATTAATTAATTAGCTAGCCTACACTAGTGTTAGTTTGGCGGATCGATTGTCAGTACAATGCCAAATCATATGAAAGCAATAGGTAAATACACATTAGGGGTGAGTATTGCGACAAAAAACCGTATGCAAGTATATTGCATACGACAAAACCGTATTGCAATATTTTTCATACGATTGGGCACAATGTATAACCATTGCATGATATAGTAACAATTTTTGATGGTTTTAATTATCATCATATATTGTATTATATGAATGATTACTTTCTCATGTTTTCTTGAGAAACAGAGCACGGCAATGTTTCCCGGCCCTGACAGTGCAGCCCTCTTGCTGCCGTAACATGTCAACCGCTGGACTGAAACCCTCTCGGAAGCACTGACGGTAGCTGCGAATACACAATACCCCTGCCTGCCATAAATTGCTAATTAACTGGATACTGAACTTGAAACTCAGCGGTTCTCCCTCGTGCGCAAACGGCGGCGCGCGCGCGCGCCCGTTTGGGAAAAACTCCCCTGTTCAAGTTGCCGCCCCATTTAACTTACCTCCGCCCCGATTAATTCCGCACAGCATAAAGTTTGCCAGCCGAGAATTCGATCGTCAACAATTCCCATTCGACCAGTGACACCCGGGTGTGTATTTTGTTACCGGCCACGCATCACTTAGACAATACACAAGTACAACAGTCAACTGTCCTACACCTAACCTGAACTTGTACACGACTCGGCTATCTTATATAATATACACGAACCAAATCCTCCGCTATGGCGCTGTGCGGTGCGAATTATTACGCGATTAATTAGTGGTTTCGGGTAACAAAACCGCCCCGGACCCCCCTTGGTCCTCCCCTCCCGCTTTCCACTCCCCTCCCCCTGTGGTGAATTTCATCCTGGCGCAGAACCTGAAAACTGAAACTCGACAACAGTGGGGTCTCCTTCAGCTTGTAATCGCCTGCGCGCGCGGGCACTCAGGTGAGGCATAGGCTATATATAAACCAGGGTCTGAAATTAAGCGACGAGAAGGGCAAGGCAAATTTTTTTAGGGATGTGGAAAATCGCCTGAAGTTTTCTCTAAAATAGAAAGGCACGAAGGCAACTCTCAAGTTTGAGAACGGGCACGCAAGGCCTTTGTAAAATAAAGGGAACTCATACAAATTCAGTACATCAACATCGTCTTGCGCTTTTATAGTACAAAACAATATGCGCCATGTAGCTTACACGCGTAACACTGACCCCCTGTACCCCAGCCTTCTGCTAATTGGACGTACACAGTAACAAGAAATTTTACCATGCCGTCTATGCAGGAGCAAATAATTTGCCGATGCTGTTATTAATTCCGCTCGCTGCCGACTATCGGTTCTTTAGCTACCACATTGCAACTCTACACGCACGCAACAGCGCACGTGTTATGTTGATTTGACTAAAAACAAACTAAAAGCAGTAGATAAAGGGCGCCGGACGGCAATTACATAAAGGGCAGACGGCAGGTGACTGCCGTCGTCGGGTTGGATTTCAGGGGCAGTACGGCAGCATTGTAGTGAGGGCACCGAGACGGCAACTTGCCGGTCGTGCGTGTTTAAATGTCGAGCCCTGATATAAACTCCCTAGTCTGCGCCGTGGCTCTCTGCCTCACGCCACGTCTGCCCACTCTGCCCGCGCGCAGTAGGTTACCGCGCAGTGTCCATGCAGTGTCGCGTACCAGTAATACTGTATGGCGCTCCGGTGCAGCATTGCTGCTTTCGTACATATGATACGACCGCCAGTCATATTTTCGAGCGCGCATAAGCAATATAGACATAAAGGGCAAGTGTCAAGTAATTTATTTGCCTGTTTACCACCCGATCGTATATACCGTATATCGTTACACCCCTAATATCAACATAGATTAATTTAATCTGTTTTTACACGCGTTATAAGATAGCCAAGTCGGTGTATTAGTTAGTGTTAGGGTTAGAGGGGGGATAGGGGTTACTGTTTGTACTTGCCTGTGTGGAGCTGCGAGTACCGCGTAGTCCTCAAGACATTAAGATACAAGATACGCGACCCGTGCCGCTGTTATCTTAAGGAAGTGTCTAAACAACCGGATCGGTTTTCGGAATCCTGAAATAAACAACTGGCGTCCTCTTCCTCTGAGTGGTCTGGTTTTTTGTCATTTATTTATTTTTTTTTTTTATATTAGAAATTAGGATAGGGCTTATCGGTTAGGATTAGGCGTTTGGGTTAGGGTTTAGGCGTCTATATTCCACACACTTGTCATGTAGGTTCGATGGCTCAGGGTAGCGCTTCGCTTCGTCGATCAGTACATAGACCATTATCGCCAATGCGTTAAATATCACCAGATGGCGCCCCGCGCGTCAAAGCTATGATGGGAATGGAAAAGGGGCAACGATCGGCGCTCATAGGTAATATATGCCACGCGTATGGGTGATAGAAAGATATACTATACAGTATATTCTCGCAACGAGTTGATTACGTCTAGAAGATCGTAGAGGAATATAGACACATGTCTATAGCATATAATCTCCGTAAATTTAGTTTTTGTGAAGCACGTAGATCATAATTAATACCTAAATATATAGCGAACGGTACGCGCATTAGGCGCCTATTGCGTGCAGTTCCGGCTATACGCACGGCTGATTGGTGATAGGAAGGATACAACTATTTACATCTTGCAAACAGAGTTGAGGTTAGCATTTCTAGAAATGCATAAAGGAATATAAGACAAATGTCTTAGCTATAATCTCTGTGAATTTTCGGTTGTTGAAGCACGAGTAGTCTTAATTAATTACCAAAGTATAATGCCGAAACGGTATGCGCGCATAGGCGGGCCTATTGCGTGCACCGGCTATACGCACGACTGGGTAATAGGAAAGGATACCTAACGTATCATATCTCGCTAATGGAGTTTGAGTTAGTTTCTAGAAATTTAGATGAATATAGACACATGTCTTAACGCTATAATCTCTGTAATTTCTCAGTTTGTTGAAGCCAGATTGTCTAATTAATTACCCACATATATGCGAACGGTATTCGCGCATGAGCAACTGCGCCTAATTGCGTTTGCAGCGGCTGCTAAGCTCTGTGCGGCGGCGGCGCAGTAATGCCCCTTTTCCTATCCCATGACGCATTGCTGTTCCGATTGGCGATAAGGTTTATTGTGACCGTGTTCGAACCCAATAACATGTTTTTATTTTTCTATGCTTTGTGTATTTCTTTGTATTTTATTTGTTTCTGCATTTATTTGTTCTGTAACTTCTGTTTATGTTCGGAATTAAATATATTTCTTTATGTTTTGCATTAAAAATGGTCCTATTATATATTTGTCCTGTTCACAGGGACCAGAACTGCAGAAGCGAAAGAAAAAAAGTGTTATAACTTATATATATATATATAGAAGTATTTATATATATAACACTTTTTTTTCGCCTCAGGTCCCCGTGGTCCTGTTATGTTCGGAAACTGACCAATCAGAGAAGAGAGCCGGTTGTTAGTGTTTAGTTTTTAGGACTCCGAAACCTAGACCAATAAATTGTGCCCTAAAAATTTTTATATTCTGATGTTATTTTAGGAAATAACATTAATCCTAAAATAAAATCAAGAAATAAAGTTAATCCTAAAATAACATCAGAATATAAAAATTTTTAGGGCACAATTTATTGGTCTATCCGAAACCGGGTCCGGTCGTTTAGACACTGGCACTGCCTATTTTAAACAGAGTGGCCATGCTAGATATGCCCGGCTGCCGGGCACGGTCTTCGATTTCCTAAATGCCCGGCAGTTTTTAATTTTCAGCGTTATCTCAAGTAAACAAGGGTTAGGGTTTAGGAATATCCTACTAACCACAGCGTATTTTAAAGTTGTAACTTGTAGTTGTAGGCGTTTATCCAAAACCGGCGTAAGCAACTAAAACAAGATCGTCCAGCGAGATCAGTTAGTCCTGCTCAAAATTTTGCTATTGAAGCCGATGAAATAATACTGCAGGTTATTATAATACGATGGAGTCTTATGTGCTCTTGGGTGCATACATAGGTGCTGAACGGCTCAGTAGGGTACATCATATAAATCAGTTAGCACTAAACGTTAAAACGTAAAACAAAACTCACAGATCGGATTCTCCTATCCTAAGAACCTCAGCTAAGAACGGCCAATGAGTGGCAGCACTAGTGCCAACAAAAGAACGTTCTTTGAATGTGCTGTTTTGTTTGCTCGTCGTGTTGTAGTGTCACATCGCGTGAGAAAGTTAATTTTAATCTCAAACTGGGTATTAACAACTTAACATAATGGTAGGCATGTGTTATAGAAATATGTTAACATATATACTATATTGTTATTACTTAAATCAGAGTGTTCATAGTTTGTAGTAGGATAGCTCCAAGAAACGGTACGGTATTGCTACAAATTACAATGCTAGGGGCGTCGGGTCCACAGCCACAGGCACTTGAAGCGTTTCAATAAAATATAAATAATGCTACTAAATACGAAATCTATTTACTACCAAATTCTTAATGTTTCTATACTCTCTTTCACCTATTATTGCCGACAGTTTCCTGTCAATTCCGTCCAAATCCTACGTCCAACCCGGTGTCCGGTCATCTCTGTTCATCTGCCAACTCAGTTAGCCGGCGAACCGAGCTGTCCGATCTCCAGACGCGTCACCTTGGTTCACGAACCGAGTTGACACGAGAGCGTCCAACCATATACGCTGCCGGCGCCATTGCTTTCGCGGCGCGACTGTTGCACGCTTACACTAATGGTAATATATATAGCAGGTAGGAAAGCGCGATCGCAAAATTCGCTCGACGCTCGCTGGATTTCACACTTTCACAGCACCAATACACAACCAACAGCTTCCATCTTTGTTTCTCTTTCAACAACAGTGTTCACTTGTTATAAAAACATAATGTCTCTGTTCGTAACTGAGCTGTGTCACGCGAAATCACACAAAGATTGACGAAATTCTCGCGTTCGCGAACCTTGGCCTGTAATGTAAATGGCTGCAAGTACAGGGCTATATATAGACTGGGACTCGCTCGCACCTCGATTACCCATCGAGTGACTAAGCTAAGCCAAGAGGTGGGAGTGGCCGCCAGTCTATGGGCTATAGGCGGCGCGCAGGCGGCGCACTGCTTTCCAACTCCCGTACAAGCCTCGCCATTGGAACTTTGCAAAAACGTTGGAGCGTTGCGGCGCAAGAATGAGGTCACGAAGAGCGCCGGTGGGCGTTTCCTGATTCTGACAGACATTTACATTACAGGGCAAGGTTCGCGAACGCGAGAATTTCGTCAGTCTTTGTGTGATTTCACGTGACACAGCTCGTTTACGAACAGAGACATTATGTTTTTATAACAAGTGAACACTGTTGTTGAAAGAGAAACAACGATGGAAGCTGTTGGATGTGTATTGGTGCTGTGAAAGTGCGAAATCCAGCGAGCGTCGAGCGAATTTTGCGATCGCGCTTTCCTACCTGCTATATATATTAGTATAAGCGTGCAACAGTCGCGCCGCGAAAGCAATGGCGCCGGCAGCGTATATGGTTGGACGTAGCATTTGGACGGAAGACTGTCGGCAATAATAGGTGAAAGAGAGTATAGAAACATTAAAGGCATAATAGGCCCATCGATTATGCAATTTTAACGAATGCTAGAGTAACTGGCACCTTGTGTAGTTAATAAGTACATTACCTTATAGCCAAACGCGTATTCGTTTGTCCAATATCACTGCTGGTTACTAAGAAATGTCTAATTGAAATCCACAGTCCACGAAATCAGTTGACTGACTTGTTTACAGTTTCGAAACCCCATACTTCGAAACGGGTGTGATACAGATTTATAGTCCACCGGACATTTTCGCACGCATGCAAAAACGCACGCACGCATGCATTTTCGCTCGGCCGTACGCAATGCTAGCGATAGTACAGTACCGTAACTGTATAATCCGGCAGTACCCTGGGGGACATAGACCCTATGAGCGTTAGTGCTGAGTGATAGTATCAGTAGTGTAATTGTTAGATTCAAGGCATAGCAAAACAAGGACCACAATGTAAATAAGTGTGCTAGTCATGCTTTTCGTGTATATATATTCTTGGTAGTTATCCAATTTTATGAATTCAAAATTCTATTGTAAAAGTATGCTATGTATTGTATATGATGGATAATTGCCTAAATAAAAAAAAATAAAAAAACACTTGGCTTACTTGGTGTTGAACAACTCTTCACCTATGTAAAGCCACCTGAATAGTTTACTCAATTTCGAACACATAAATTTTTGAGAAGTACTTATTTCTCTCATCCGAACAATTCAATTGAAGTATCAGTGTCTGTTACACTTCTAGTTCTAGGGGCAATCACAAATAATCATAATTCATTAATTGATACGATTATTACTAATACTTTATAAACAAACGCACGTCCAATTGGTTGTGTAAACTTACTTCAATCACAACCCACATGATTACGGATCCTTCAACCCATGATTACATCACCTTAATTTAACTGACTTCAGATTGGCAGACTTTTAAAGTTCACGCATAACACAGGCGTTATTTTAAACGCGGTGGCTGAAGGTACGGCAGCCGTATCTTAATGTCTCGAGGCTACGAGTACGGCAGTCCACTTGCGCATGCGTCGCTTTCCCACACCATAGATTATTTTTGGTACTATGACACGCGTATATAAGATAGCTGAGTCGGTTTAGAGTTAGTGTTAGGGTTAGGGTTAGGGATAGGGTGACTGTTTGTACTTGTGTGTGGGATCGCTTCTTCTCTGAATTGCTAATTCTCATTTATTATTTTTTTTTATTTAGAATTCGGATCAGTGTAGGTTAGATGCATTAGGCTTGGGTTAGGTTAGCCTCAGAAAGGTTCTAATATCACAACTTTCAAGCTTAGGTCTGAGGCCAGTGCGTAGCGCTTTCCTTGGATAAGTAATAGCCCTTATCGCACAATCGCATTACAATATTCACCACGATGGCGCCCCGCCGCAACGCCATCGATATATGTGCAAAAGGTTGGCAACGATCGCGCTCATAGAATATATGCACGGAGAGTACGATAGGACAAGCATACTAACTATCATATCTCCCAAACGAGTTAGACTTACATCTCTCAGAAATCTAGAGAATAATAGCAACATGTCTGAGCTATAATCTCTTAAATTTTAAGATTTTGTCGAAGCACTAGCTTAATTAATCTACTCAATATATGCCGAACGGTAATCTGCTATAGGCGCCTATGCTGCAGCGCCCGATACGCACGGTCTATGGTGATCAGGAAAGCGATACCAACTCATTACATCTGCAAACGAGTGACCTTACACTTTCCTAGATAATCCATAAGGAACTATAGACACAATGTCCTTAGCCTAGAAATCTCTGTGAATAGAAAACACAAACTGTCAGTTTGCTTGAAGTCACGACTCTAGTCTAATTAATACTCAAAGATATCATCACCGCTTATCGCCGCATAGTCCCTAATCTTGCGTGCCGCTATACCGCACGACCTTGGGCTAATAGAAAGCGATACTAACCTCATTCATATCTGCTAATGAGTCGAGTTAAGTTTCCTAGAACGTTAGTCATGAATATCAGACACAATGCTTACCTATACACTCTCCTCGAAACAATTTCAGTTCTGTATGAAGCCCACGATTAGTTAATACATTACCCAAATAGGATCGCGAACCCTATATCGCGCCATGCATTACTGACGCCTATCTGCTTGGCATCAACCGGCCTGCCTAACCGCTCGTCGCCGCGCCGCCCGCTTAGTAATGCCCCCTGTTTCTATATCCCATTGACGCCATTCGCGTGGCGATTGCGATAAGTTTATTCGTGACCCGTGTTTTCGACCCAATACAGTTATTTATTTTCTATGCTTGCTGTACGCTTCTATTTTATTTGTCGCATTTAGTTTTCGCTTAACTGCTGTTTATGTCTCAATCTAAAATATATTTCTTTACTCTTTCTTGCATTATAAAAATGGCTCCCTATTATTATATTCCTTTCACAGGACCAGAACTGCAGAAGCGAAAGAAAAAAAGTGTTCATAATCTTAATGTATATATATATGAAGTATTTATATATATAACACTTTTTTTTCGCTCAGGTCCCCTGCGTCCTGTTAAATGTTCGGAAACTGACCAATCAGATAAGAGAGCCGCGTTTTAGTGTTTAGTTTTTAGGACTCCGAAACCGGTGTCCGTCGTTTAGACACTGCACTGCCTATTTAACAGATGTGCCATGCCTACATATGCCCGCTCCGGCACTGCTCTTCGATATCTCTAAATGCCCGGCATTTTTAATTTTCCACGTACCCAAGTTAACAAGTTAGGTTTTAGAATATCCTACTAACCACAGCTATTTTAAAGTTAACTATGTAGTTGTAGCGTTTATCAAAACCGCGTAAGCAACATAAAACAACATCGCTCCAGCGAGATCAGTTAGTCCGCCAAAATGTAATGAAGCCAATGAAATAATATGCAGTTTATTATATATACGATGTAGTCTATTAGCTCTTGGGTGCATACATAGTGCTGAACGGCTAGTAGGGTACATGCATATAAATCAAGTTTAGCACCTAAAAAGTTAAAACGTAAAACAAACTCACAGCATCGGATTCTCCTATCTTAAAGACCTCAGCTAAGAACGCCATATGAGTAGCAGACTACTGCCAACAAAAGAACGTTCTGTGAATGTCGTTTTGTTTGCTCGTCGTGTTGTGTGTCACATCGGCTGAGAAAGTTAATTTATCTCAAACTGGGTATTAACAAACTTAACATAATGCTAGCATTGTTCTTATAGAAATATGTTAACATTATATACTATATTGTTATACTTAATCAGACTGCTCTAGGTTGTAGTATGATTAGCTCCAAGAACGTTACGTTATGCCTACAAATTACAATGCTACGGGCGCTCGGGTCCACACCACAGGCACTGAAGCGTGTCAATAAATATAAATAAATGCCTATCTAAATACGATAATCTATTTACTACCAATCTTAATGTTTCTCTATACTCTCTTTCACCTTTAATGCCGCTTTCCTGTCAATTCCGTCATATCCTACGTACACCCTCGGTCCGATCATCTTCGTTCATCTGCCAAACTCTAGTAGCCGAGCGAACACTGCATCTCCAACCGCGTCACCTTGCGTTCAACGAACGTTGACACCGAGAGGTCCAACCATATACGCTTGCCGCGCCATTGGCTTTCGCGGCGCCGATGTTGCCAGCTTACCACTAAGGGTAATATATCATACAGTAGGATCATAGCTGCGATCGCAAAATT